AACCATTCTTGCAGCTTTTCCATTCTCTATATGTATATCCTTTAACTGTGAGCTTGAGTTGGAAAAAGAATCTATTCGTAAGAGTTGAGCTAAGAAAGGATGATGCAGATGTTTGTAGACGACCTTCAGAGGTAAAATTGTTGAGTGATACTTTGCACTATGATTTTTAAACTCGTCTTATTGTTGTCTGTGTTACTGATATGACTAGGCAATGTATCCAAGGGAACCTGGTTTATCACTTCAGAAGTGGGCTCACATGCAAGTTGCTGTTGGTGCTCGGGTGGCCTACTACCATGATGAAATTAAAGTTTCTCTCCCTGCTGTTTGGACACCATTGCATCACCTTCTATTCACTTTCTTCCATGTTGATCTTCAAATGAAACTAGAAGCTCCAAAATCAGTGAGTTCAATGAGATCCATTTTTCTTTTCCTTCCATTTGAAATAATACAAAATCATCTGAACCTCATCTTAGTGGTTTTATACTCGTTGGTTAGTTGTTTGGCCTGTTTCTCACTCCTCTCATTCTATCTTTTATTGCAATCCTAAGTAGTTCTGTTCTTTTACTTGGCAGGTAGTAATTGGATATGCAGCACTTCCAGTATCCACCCATGCACAGTATGCAACTGCCCTTATGTTTGTCATCTTTTGTTTTGTTTCTTTCCTTGAATGATTTATTAACTTACATTATTTGTTCTGCTACTGGAGTGATTGGTATGGTAGTTCATGGTATTGGAAACAAACAGGGGTCAGAAATATAATCACCTATTCGGTATTCTAGTGGTTTGTTAAGTTAATGTTATAATTTCAATTGTCAGGTTACTTTCCTGGTTTATATTGTGGGTACTTGGATGATATCAACGGAGTCTTCATTTACCTTACAGTGAAATGCTACCTAGTTTATTCAGATAAGTTTGACAAAATCTTATTAAAAACAACAGAGGTGGTATTTAACATCAAGAACTCTCATTACCTAAGCTTAGTATATGAAGTTATTGAATTATAAAAATCATATATGGTTGTTTATAGTTTATACCTCAAGAAATTTAATATTTTGGTACAGGTCACACTTGAGTAGGGTATAGAGAAGGGTTGAATTGGGAACAATTTTATTTATCCTTTAGCTTTTTTTTTTCTAAAGCAGTTGCAATTAAGATTTGGTAATGAGACTAATTATTATCTGTACCAGATAATGGCTTTTATTCCCTATCCCCTAAAATTTAATAAAATAAAAATAAAATACCAGCAGCATTTTGTCATAAAGAAACTGAGAAACCAGATATTATAGGATTTGGATACATCCCTAAAGCTAGTGAGAGCATCAAAGTTGTCCTCGAAAGGGATAATCAAGATGGTGATGATGATGATAAGCACGATGAAGATGGATCCAATCATCAAGATGTGAAGGCATCAAATATATAGACTTGAGGTAGGGTAAAAGCACTAAATGGATTTCAGTGAAAAAAAACTAGGAAAGAAAAAGCATGTAGCGAGCAATCATGAAGTCTCTTCCATGTGTAACTTTCTGAAATGAATGCTATTATGAGGGCATGCATTTGTTCATGGACGAATCTGCTTTTATATTGCTCATCCTATCAGATGCTTCATTTGGTGGCTCAGTTTGCTAAATTAAACTTAGCAACTGATAATAATAACTCACATGCTCCATTTTTGTGTAACATTCAAGTTTAAACATATTTTCTGGAAAATAAATTATACATGTGATAACTATATAGGCTAATGAGACTAAATCTCGAGCATCCAATTGAATAATTGATTAATGTGAGGGAAATGTTGTCCCTGGTGCAGGTATTAGCTGCAAATGCCTGAAAGGTTAGTGCTGTTTGTTTTGCAGAGATAAACAAAGGGAAACAATGTCAGAGGCCAAAGAAGTAACTCAATTGATTCCCAAAATCATGAAGAAGAAAGGGAATGGTGACAAATTGGATAACATTACCTATGCTGAGAATGCATTTCAAAAGAGAGAAGAGAATTGCCTTTCTGATCGCTATGTAGTTGCTGAAGATACATAAGCTAATGGAAATTAGCTACATTGCATATTCTGTTTTTTTTTTCTTTAGCTGCTTTTTTTTTTCCTTTCCCATATTCTTACTGCACCATGAAAAAGAAACAGAAGGAAACCACAGGATTACTAGATAGACTAACATTGTTAAACTTGTTCACAGATGTAGCATGAACCTTTCTTGCAGAAGAGCAATGGATGGATGAACGATTGCTGGATCAATTTGTCTATCTTCACTCATTGGAAGATGAAGAGGAACCTCAATGGGATTGATTCAAGCACGCTTTAATGAGACCTCATACACATATGCACATATATATAGGACATAGCTAGGACTTAAGATGATTATTTTAATTCATTCATTCTGGCTATTTGATTCTGTATGACTAAAAGTTGGAAAACAAAGGCAGCTGAACTACAATGTGTAACAAGACAGAGATATGTGGCCATGTGAATGGGTGAAAGTACGTCTAGGGAAGAAAATGGTCAGAAGCAAAATCTGAAGAGATGTGGAAGGTAGCATTTGGAAGTGTTTCTTTAAGGAGAATAAAAGACTGGGTGCATTGTGTGTCGGCTTGTCGTAGAGGGTTGCTGGTATGCCTTTGGAGTCTTTTTGGTGGGGGATTTGGTCGGACCTTCCCATTATATTTAGCTTTGAACATTCTTTTTTTTCATTTGTGGACAGCATAAAGCTTGAACACTCTGAACACAATTTGGACTCTGATGTTTTTATCAAAGAAAACCCTATTATGGATAGAAGAGAAAAGAAGAATCAACCAAAGCCAAACCCCTCTTTCTCTCTGTACATGTTCTGTTTTTGTCTTGAAGCTTTTGGATGGAAATGGCATGGAAGATAAAAGTTGAGATATTAGATTGGATCTGTGGTTGTTGGGGGACTGAAATTTGAAAAGCAACATATATCCGAAAGCTAGAGATAGAGGTCTTATTACCCCAAACAAAAAAATAGAACTTGCATGGATTTAAAACAAGTGTTATTTATTGAATTTTACTGTATGATCTCATCAAATCATATTTTAATCCACATATTAACATATATAATTAAGTATAGAAAACAATTTGAAAAAATAACTCTTAAAATGATAATAAAAGATTTTTGATATATCTAGTTTAAAAGAATTTTTCTCTTATATTTATTTTTACAATCAAGTCTTAATAAAAGAAAATGGATTAAAAAATTTGAATTTTTACTTTGAAAAGTAATTGTTCAATCATAGTAGTATAAAAGATAATCTAAAAAAAAAGTTAGATTAAATTATATTAAATTATAAAATAAAATAATGATCATTAAATAGAAAAGACCTCAATTATCATATTCTAATACAGTTCGGATTACATAATATTTTTTCCTCAAAACCGTAAAAATGCTGTAATTTATAAAATTAATTTTACATTGATGGCTCCCACCAAAAATAAAATAAAATAAATAAACATTGACGGCTCAAAATAGAAAACCGAAAACCGTTCATACAAACCTAACCCTTTGGCCCAAAAAACAAAAAGCCCAACCCAAAGTCCCCAACGTTCGGCCTCTCCCCGCCGGCTACATCTCCGCCAGTGTAGTCTTACACCGGTTTTCATCGGAATTACTTGCTACGCCCTCAGACCTTCAATTCGTTAAGCTGGACAAGGCGCTTTCAGACGAGGACTGTACCGATTACAGAGTTGCATTCTTCTTCTTGTACAGGGTTCGCTTCTAGGACGAGTGCAGCTCATTCGCCGCCACAGACCGTCTGTCCGGCAACTGATAGTAAGGAACTTTCTTTTGATATTTTTATTTATGGGTTTTATTTCTTGACAATTGGGTGTTGTTTAATTATGTATGGAAAATGCAATTTCTTTGTTTGAAGAAAAATTATGGAGCGCTCTGTCCTCTGTTTCAAGTCTGAGCCTTTGCTCTGTTTGCTGCTACCCTTAGGTTCTTTGATTTATGTTTGTAGAGATAAGGATTTTGTCAAACTTGGTTATTGGTTTTTGGATTCTTGCTTTGCCTTCAATTTTTTGGTGTTTAGGGAATTGATACTTTTGGAAGAAAATGGATATTTTCAAAATTAGTGGGAGTATATCATGGATGGACAAATAATACAGCTTCCAGTACCACTTACTACTTTATCACACGGTTTTGATTTTCAACGGGTAAGCTCCCTTTCCTCAAGCTTTAATCTTTTAGATTGTGGGTTTATTACTGCATCTTTTTTTTCCCTTTATGATTTCTATAAAGCATGGCTTTTACTTTCAATTTCTATGTGAATTTCTTGGTTTTCTTCCTGTTCATCAATCTGCATGCCATATTCTCTGCTTTCTGTTATTTTGAAATTTTGCAAGAATATCAAATGGCTTTTGGTTGTTCGAGATTTAATTTTCAAAAAATTAGAACTTGTTAATGAATTTTGGAGATTGCCCAGTGGATCTAATTCCCAATTTTAATTTCTTCTAACTTTCTCTTTGAATTTGCCTCATGGAATTCATGTTGTTGCATTTTGTGACACTCTATTTCACCCTCATTCTCTTCATATTTTCAGTCTAAGGAAAATTTTTGGGAGTTTTTTGGTGAGTTGGCTGTTTGGCTCCTAAGAAAGTAAAGGAAAATATTGTTGATAATTAACTGTAATTTGGTGATTAATTGGAATTTTTTGGTGGTTTAGTTTGCTGATTTATTGGTTTTTATTTTATTTTATTTGGATGTTGGGTGCCGGAGAGAAGAAAGCAAAATATTGATGATAATTAATATTTTGCTTGGTTAATTAATAATAATGATATATAATGATGATAATTTCTGTTTGTTTGCAGTAGAGAATTGAAAGTTTAAATAACAACGAGAAAATTTTGCGGTGATAGCTTATCTATACCCCTTTGCATCAGTTAAATTGAGATTAATGTTTTGTTGGTTTAATCTCAAGAGCTTTACTTTTGAACCTTATTTTGAGTAAATCTTATTATTATGAAGTCTAAAATATATTCTTGTAAAATCTAGTTTGATTGTTGAAAGAACATCATATCCGGGGTAACTTTGTGTTTTGATAACAGATTTAATGCAACAAAGATGTTGGAAAAGCTGAGATATGTAGTAAATACGGCATTGACAAAGACTTGACAGCCATAGAGCACCAAAACAGCCAGAGGCGACCTGCCCTCCCCTGTGATGGAACTTGGAAATCCTTGTGCTTGTCGAACCCTGGTCTCCTCAGGAACTTGAGTGCAGCGGTAGCTGTGTCTGTTTTTGTTTCTAGAAAACATATGACATGTGGACGATTCATCTTAATTAGCTCTCGACACTCTTTTCGGAAGGGACCACGTTGAACCCCCTGTTATTCCATGATACAATCTTCATTTACAAGTTGTAAGAGGAGACGCAACTGAATCCTCAGGTTGGGTCGCGGGCTAGACACTTGGGCTTCAACAATTGGAGAAGGGGTGATGTCCATCTCAGCTGTACCATCATTTGTAATTGCGTTGTTTCCCATCTCAGCCATTGCTTTTTTCTTTATTTGCTCCGATCAATGCGGCTTCCTCATCCATCAACTCCTCAATTATAGCAAAACGATTTTGTTGCGAGACTTTCGTTCCTTGACTTCTTTGGAGAGCCGCTGATTTCGTCAAATTTTTTGGGATAGATTGTGAAGAAATAAAAATTTTAGTTTATTGATCTGCAAAAAGATTATATTATTTTATTATTGTAAATTATATTAAATAATTTTTTAATATTAATATTCAGCTATTAATATTTGTTATATATATATTAAGAAATGTAAATAAATAGTCTTTTTAAATTATTAATTTTAATTTTTAAGTGAGAAAAATACTTTTT